GGGCCGGGCTCTTCCCGCTGGCCCCGGAGCAGCCAGAGAAGCCCAAATCTCCGAGCCCCGGCGCCTTGTCCCTCTGGCCCCGAGTCCGCCGGCTCTGGGCGGGCATCCCCGGCACCGGGGCTCCCGAGCCATTGACTCCCGCTCCGTCGGGCGCCTGCTCTGCTTTCTGGGTGTCCCGTCGTGTCGTCACCGTGCCCCCCCCTTCACCCCCCTCCCCACGAGCTGGGCTTTGGAGGGAAGGGCTGCATCTGTCGAGCCAGATGATGCAGATGGGTTACAGGAGGGATGGATGGATGGATGTTCGGGTGACCTAAATATTATGTGCTTGTATAATTAATTGCCCGGCGGTCCAGGGCTGCCTGCCAGGGTGTGTTGTGATACTCGGCTCAGGTAGAACTGTCCAGGGAGTTTGCTTGACATGTGGCATTTGTTGCAGCCATTGCAGAAACGACAAAGAACCGTGGAGGATTTCAATCAGTTCTGCACCTTCGTTTTGGCCTATGCAGGCTACATCCCCTACCCTGAAGAGGTAAGTGGGCTTGCAGGGTGCTGCTCTACAAAAATGTTTCCTCTGGGTTCCCTGCTATGTGCAGACCCAGCTCCTAATTCTTTTCCTGGAGAGTCATTCTCCATGCCCAGCCCCTTCCTCCTTAAATGTCTATCCTGCAGTTTCCCGTGCTAGTCCTGCATCTTCCCCTCCTGCAGAATGAGCCCTGGACCCACGGAGGCAGCATGAGTCCCCAGAACAGCACAGGGAGCACTCAGGACAGTGATAGCTGGTCCTCAACCCACTCTTCTGACTGCCACGTCCTGATGGATGATGGGAGGAGCAGGAAGGCCGTGGCCCAGGGGGTTGTGGACAGCAGCCTGCTCATGAGCTGCCGTCCTTTCCCCACTGGTTTCTATGATGTCCGGCCCCAGCAAACCAAACGGAAGAAACCACCGGCAAAGAAACTAATTTTGGACCAGAAGGTGGAGAAGAGGGTACCACTGAGTGCTGGGGAGGGCTTTGCAGCAGTGCAGGGAGGGGAAAAGGCACTGGCTGTGCTAGAAGGACAGGTGCCTCCTGTGAAAGAGCAGCTCCTGGAGCCTTCTCTCAAGCCAGCTGGTGGCCACCAGCCCGACTGCCTCCTGGAGGAGCTGATGAAGGAGGAGAAGGACTGGATGCACGAGGCACAGGGGACTGAGAAGACATCAGGAGATGATTCTCAGCTACAAGAGCACGAACCCTGCTCTGGAGGGAGGAAAAGTCCCAGTTCTTGCAGTACCTTGGACCAAAGTGAAGGGGAAGATGCAAGCAGAGGGAGCTCCCAGCTTAGTGGTGAGTGTCTGAGGGAGCACAGAGTGCCCTGTTGTGGGGCCAGTGCCAGGTACTGTCCTCTCAGCTGGAGCCACCAGTGCTGGCTGCAGTGGGGAGCTCGTTGATGGCCCAAGCCTCTCCCAGCAAGGGCAGTACCTTTGGGACCTGGGAGGGCTGAGGAGCAGAGGGCAGGGATCTGGCCTGCCCTGTGGAAGCTCTGTTCTGCAAAGCAAGCTGTACAGACCTGAAACACGCCTGAAACAGGGTGTAGGGCTGCCTTGCTCATCTGGTCTTTATTTTTCTTTTTTTTTTTCTTTTTTTTTTCTTTTTCCCCTCCATTTGCAACCTTAGCAGTTGAATTCACAGCAGCTCCCAACACCAAAGCAGAAGGTGAGTGGGGGGGCTTTCCCAGTTGACACCAGTGGAACTGGCTAGTCTGGTCACAGCCAGACCAGCAACTGATAAGGTGGTTTCTGACCAGTGCCTGTCTCTCCCTGACCAGATGACGATGCCTGGGATCTGATCACCTGCTTCTGCCTGAAGCCCTTTGCAGGCAGGCCCATGATTGAATGTAACGAATGCGCGACCTGGATCCACCTCTCTTGTGCCAAGATCCGCAAATCCAACGTGCCTGAGGTTTTCATCTGCCAGCGGTGCCGCGATGCCAAGCAGGAAATTCGCCGCTCAAACCGAGCTCGGACGGTGCCCCGCAAGCGCTTCTGTGACTGAAGCTCCTCCAGAGCAGGGAGGCCGGGGGTCCCCTTTTTAAACAGAAGACTGTAGCCCGGTTTGGCTAGACAATCAATGCACAGTGACGGCAGGGGAGGGCTGGCCACGGGACTGGACTGTCCCCCTTGCACTTCTGGCTCCTGGAAGCTGCCACACGCGTCCTCCCTGGGGATCGCGTTGGTCACGGAGCTCGGTTACCCCAGAGGTGTGGGGGGGAGAGGAGGGTGGTCCAGCCACACACTAGGTCACTCTGAAACATCTCTGTCCTTGCACAAAGCTGGTTCAGTGCCTTTTCCCCCAGGGCAGCCAAGGAGAACCTAGTCCTAGTAGTTTTTCTGTGGTGTGGTGGAAGCTTACACTTATCCCAAGATGTGACTCCCCTTCCTCCATTTTCCTCACTGTTTTCCTTTCCTTGCCTCAGACCTTTGGGTGGGCTGTGGTGGCAAAGCCCCAGTGACCCAAGTTCTCCTCCAGCAAGTAGGTGCAGCCCAGGTGAGCTCCCTCCATGTAGTGTCCTGCTCTGCAGGGCAGGAGGGGGACAGGACGCTGGTCCTGCTGGCACCTGAAGCAGACCGGGGCTCCGTGTCTTGGGGGGTATTGGTAGAGCCAGTGAGCACAGGGGACTGACCTCCTTCACCTGGCCCATGGTGCTCCTGGTTTTGCATGCTCTGCTCTGCTTGTGGCCCTAGAATAGACCTGCTGGGTCAGGAGCATCAAAGGTATCCTCTAATAGATGATTACAAGGTTCTTCTGGCCAAGCAACCCTCCTTGGTTCACATTCTCCAGTTGCACTGAGGTCTCCTGTGCAAAGGAGGGTAGGATTCCTGGTAGTAGGATGCTGAAGTTATCCTCAGCTGGCCATGGCAGGGCTGGGAGCCCTTTGGAAGGGGAGGTGAGAGTGCTCTGGTTAGCTTTTTATGTTTTCCATTTCCAGTATAAAACAACTGAAGCATGTACCCTGTGGCCATCTCCTGCCTGCAGGGCTGTCTGGTGGAGCATTTTCTTCACCATCAGCTGGATGCTGCTGAGTCCTGAGCTCAGATGGAGCTAGGAGCTGGAAGGGCCTTGCTTCCCAGCACTCCCTCTATCACAGAATTTGTGGGGCTTTTTGTTCTGTTTTTTTTCCTGGACATGTAGAGTGAAACCTAATGACTTGTCAAGGTTGGGCCCTGAGCCCCTTCTGCTATGCAACTGCTGCTCTGGAGACATGGGATATGCCCTCTCCAGGCCCCCAGTTAAGTTTGGCAGTGGAAGGTTTTTCCCTCTCCCTGTCCCCTGTGCACTGTGTGTGTGATCTTCTGGGGCCCTCTGTGCACTCACTGTTGGATCCCACCTTCTCACATCCCCTCCAAAGAGCCTGGCCCACGTGCCTTCTGCACTTTCCCTGGGGGCTGCAGACCCTGCTCCTGTCCTGGTGACACTTGGCTTGGCCCACAGCAGGGAGTGCAACAGCCTCCACTTGCCAGTCCCCACAACTGTATTTCTTAAACTGGGTTCTTTCCTACTTGCACATCTGGTTACAGTGGGACCACAACTGGGGGAGGGTGTGGGGCAGTCTCCTGTCACTCAGCAGCCCCCAGGCTCATCCCTGTGCCTCTCTCCTCCTGTGGAAAGCCTGGGCCCCAAAAGTGCTTTATGTTTTTTATAGTTACATTGTATTGATATGTAAAATAGCAAATTCTGGTCCTTGCCCTGTGGAGTGTGGCTGGAGTCTTATGTATATAATAAAGTACTTTTGCCATAATGCTGGTGGCTTTAGCATAGTTCAGTGGCCTTGGGTCTCATGTCCCTTTGGGACCTGAGTGTTCCCCTTCTCCCTCTCTGTGTGGCTGGGAAGGGACTTGGTGTAGGAATCCCACCCACCTCTGCTCCTCCCCCCCAGGTAAACACAGAGAGAACAAGCAGGTCAATGCAGGTTGTATTTATTAATAGTGATGCCCACCTCCCCACCCTGCTGTGGCACATGGGGGTGCTCCACAGGAACATCTAGACTTGGGGACAACCCCTCTGATGAGGGCCATCGTCATGAGACTACAGCCAACTCAGTCAATATCATGGGGTCAGTCCAAAGAAACAGCAGGTCCAATGGCTGGGGGAAGGTGTCTACATCCACTGGATATGACTCTTAAGGCACATCATGATTTTGCTCGAAAGCCATATTTTGCTCTTGGCCACCAAAACGCCTTCTGTGGCTCTGTCTCCACTCCAGATGGAGATGCGATTTAGTCCTGACAGCAGCTGAGATGCCAAAGAATCCAGTTTTCTTCACAAAATAGATCTGTTATTCCAGTACAGAGGCATCACTGGCATCCCCTGCAGACCCAGAGGGGTGCCAGCGTCCATCAGGCAACACTGTGAGGTCAAATGGGGGACACAGCAAGGGGGACAGGACAAGAAGGCACTGGGGACTCAGTGCTGGTCTGGCTGGGGTGGAAAGAAGACACTGAGGGGACCTCTACCAAAACAGGTTCCTGCTGGTGTGTCACTTTGATGCTTGAGGCAGTTGCACTGGGGCAGAGGCAGCCGATCTTCTGAGAACAGCAGCAAAACTGGGCATAATTTCTATGCTAGGGGCCAAAGCTGGGTTTGTGCAGCTAAGCAAGGTGGGGGGCCTCTACTCTTCCTTGGCCCAGACAGAACCACCTGCCTTCCCCTCCAGGTGGGGTATCACTGCCTCAGTGTAAAACTTCTCCAGCTTGGGCTCCGTCTGCTCCCAGAACTCGGCGTCGAACTCCACAGGGACCACAGCTGTCTCCTTGGTGGTGTGCACCACTAAGTCAGCCTGCTGAAAGCCAGCGGCTGCCAGCTGGCACTGGACCTGCGTGAAGTAGGCATGATTCCTCTTCAGGGAGTAGGAATCCCCATCCACCTCCAGGCAGAAATCCTTGTCCTTGCAGGCCTCACGCACTGTCCTGTTCCTGTGCTTGTAGGGACACTTCACTTCCAGCAGCCCCAGGGCCTTCCCTGTGGCTGCTTCCTTGACGATGCCATCTGGGCTGGCTGCGATCCAATTCTTCTCCGGGTGAATGAAGAGGCCACAGTCCCCCACCCTCACCTGTGCACTCACTGTTGGATCCCACCTTCTCACATCCCCTCCAAAGAGCCTGGCCCACGTGCCTTCTGCACTTTCCCTGGGGGCTGCAGACCCTGCTCCTGTCCTGGTGACACTTGGCTTGGCCCACAGCAGGGAGTGCAACAGCCTCCACTTGCCAGTCCCCACAACTGTATTTCTTAAACTGGGTTCTTTCCTACTTGCACATCTGGTTACAGTGGGACCACAACTGGGGGAGGGTGTGGGGCAGTCTCCTGTCACTCAGCAGCCCCCAGGCTCATCCCTGTGCCTCTCTCCTCCTGTGGAAAGCCTGGGCCCCAAAAGTGCTTTATGTTTTTTATAGTTACATTGTATTGATATGTAAAATAGCAAATTCTGGTCCTTGCCCTGTGGAGTGTGGCTGGAGTCTTATGTATATAATAAAGTACTTTTGCCATAATGCTGGTGGCTTTAGCATAGTTCAGTGGCCTTGGGTCTCATGTCCCTTTGGGACCTGAGTGTTCCCCTTCTCCCTCTCTGTGTGGCTGGGAAGGGACTTGGTGTAGGAATCCCACCCACCTCTGCTCCTCCCCCCCAGGTAAACACAGAGAGAACAAGCAGGTCAATGCAGGTTGTATTTATTAATAGTGATGCCCACCTCCCCACCCTGCTGTGGCACATGGGGGTGCTCCACAGGAACATCTAGACTTGGGGACAACCCCTCTGATGAGGGCCATCGTCATGAGACTACAGCCAACTCAGTCAATATCATGGGGTCAGTCCAAAGAAACAGCAGGTCCAATGGCTGGGGGAAGGTGTCTACATCCACTGGATATGACTCTTAAGGCACATCATGATTTTGCTCGAAAGCCATATTTTGCTCTTGGCCACCAAAACGCCTTCTGTGGCTCTGTCTCCACTCCAGATGGAGATGCGATTTAGTCCTGACAGCAGCTGAGATGCCAAAGAATCCAGTTTTCTTCACAAAATAGATCTGTTATTCCAGTACAGAGGCATCACTGGCATCCCCTGCAGACCCGGAGGGGTGCCAGCGTCCATCAGGCAACACTGTCAGGTCAAATGGGGGACACAGCAAGGGGGACAGGACAAGAAGGCACTGGGGACTCAGTGCTGGTCTGGCTGGGGTGGAAAGAAGACACTGAGGGGACCTCTACCAAAACAGGTTCCTGCTGGTGTGTCACTTGATGCTTGAGGCAGTTGCACTGGGGCAGAGGCAGCCGATCTTCTGAGAACAGCAGCAAAACTGGGCATAATTTCTATGCTAGGGGCCAAAGCTGGGTTTGTGCAGCTAAGCAAGGTGGGGGGCCTCTACTCTTCCTTGGCCCAGACAGAACCACCTGCCTTCCCCTCCAGGTGGGGTATCACTGCCTCAGTGTAAAACTTCTCCAGCTTGGGCTCCGTCTGCTCCCAGAACTCGGCGTCGAACTCCACAGGGACCACAGCTGTCTCCTTGGTGGTGTGCACCACTAAGTCAGCCTGCTGAAAGCCAGCGGCTGCCAGCTGGCACTGGACCTGCGTGAAGTAGGCATGATTCCTCTTCAGGGAGTAGGAATTCCCATCCACCTCCAGGCAGAAATCCTTGTCCTTGCAGGCCTCACGCACCGTCCTGTTCCTGTGCTTGTAGGGACACTTCACTTCCAGCAGCCCCAGGGCCTTCCCTGTGGCTGCTTCCTTGACGATGCCATCTGGGCTGGCTGCGATCCAATTCTTCTCCGGGTGAATGAAGAGGCCACAGTCCCCCACCCTCACCGGCTTGCCCACTGCCCGCGACTTCAGCTGCTCATAGGCCTCTATGGCTGCCTTCTCATTGCGGATCCCCCAGGACATGGCTGGTGTCTGCACACGGGGGGCAGAGCCCACCACTGCCTTCAGGTAGGACTGGGGCACCTCGTCTGTCTTGCCGTTGGCAAACCTGCTGTTGGCAATCCTGGGGGCCACAGAGGCCGTG